ATATAATATGTAGTCTTTCATAATTCTTCCTTCAGATACTGTTTTGAAATTTATCCATGTTATTGTGTCTCTTAAAAACAAAAACAAAAACAAAACAAAAACCCACAAAACCAAATCCACTGCCATAAAGTCAATTTTAAAACCCTGTATAAGTTTTTCAAGGCCATAAATCTTTATAGGCAGCCTCATTTTTCTCTTGCAGAGCAGCTGCTTGTGAGTTTGAACCTTGAGGTTAGTAGCCCAATACCTAGTCCATTAAGAGTGTCTTGACTCATTTGTTGATGGGCAACTTGGCTGTCTCTAGTTTTGGGCAATTAACAGAAAAGGTGCAATGAATGTTCTTTTGAAATGTTTTATGTAGGCATTTGTTGTGCTTATTCTCTCCCACTTTGTGGCTTGACTATTCAGTTTTTTCACTGTGTCTTTTAATAAGTAGAAAGACCCTTGCTGTCATAGTAACTTTCTAGGACAGACTAGAACTGCCCCACTGGATTTTTTAAAAGTCTCTGCTTTTAAAAGACAGTCTTCCAATCATTTCGGAACATCATAATTCACCATTATAGAGGCCATGCTATTAGAGAAAATAAGATTATTACGATGGGCGAAGAGGTCATACTGTCTTGTATTAAACATGTCAGAACACGGAAGGTGCTGCATTAGTTACCCGTGCTTCATGTTTCACATGAAAATTACTTTTAAGTTCTTTTTTTTTTTTTTAATTAGAAAATGAATATACATTGTTACCCTTCCAGTACATGGGGAAAAACAGTAAGCAATTTCCTTTTTTTTCCCCCACTTCCTTGACATTTGAACTACCTTCTCTGTCATCCAAGTTACCATGTGTCTACATTTTACCCAGTGGAAAACATCTCCATTTTCTCCCCCATCCCTGGTAACCTTCACAGAACATTTATTCTAGAATGAAAACTTTTTCTCGACTCTTTACAGTAATAGACTGATTTCACTCAGCATAATATCCTCCAGGTTTCTCCATGTTATGCGGTGTTTTGCAGATTCAGCTTTATTCTTTTATGTTGTGTAATAATATTCCATTGTGTATATGTACCAAAGCTTTTTCAACCATTCTTCTGCTGAGGGGCATCTAGGCTGTCTCCATCTTTTTGCTATTGTGAATAATGCTGCACTTACCATGGGCGTGCATATAACTATTCATGTCTCAGCTCTTACTTCTTGAAGGTATATACCAAGTGGAGAGATTGCTGGATGATTGGGTATTTCTATTGCCAACCTTGTGAGCAAGTCAAGGCTGTAATCTTTATGGAAATAGATTGCCACCATTTGTCTCCTGTAAAGTGACTGGTATGTTTGAACCACTGACCTTTTGGTTAGGAATCAAACATTTAGTTGCTGCCCCACCAGGGCTCCTTTTAATGAATATAAATCCTTATCTTAATGAAATCATCATTTTTCTTTTTCATAATTGCTTTCTGCATGGAAACTTTACCTCTTTGCAGGTCATGAGCACACTGTCCTATACTTTCTTTTTAGTTTTGGATTGTACATTTGGACCTCTAACATACCATATAGTAGGCGGTAAGGACTGTGGTTCATTTGTTGTCTATATGGATATTTAGTTGCATTAGCACTATTTGTTGAAAATATTTTCCTTTCCCAATTGGATTCTTTGAACACTTATAAAAACGTATATAACTATTTTTAAAAAATCAAGTGTCTGTTCTATGGGTTTATATGTTGGTCTTTAAATCAGCACTCCACACACAGCACAGCCCTACTTACTGAAGTTTGAATTCAAGCAAATCATAAATTCTTATGTTTTAATACTATTTTTAATATTCTAAGTCCTTGTTATATCCACGTACATTATAGAAGCAGTTTGTTAATTTCTATAAAAAATCTTAGTGGGATTATGATCAGGAGTTGGTAAGGAATATGTAGATCAATTTGGTACAAATTAGCTTTTTAGTAATATTAAATCTTAAGATTCATTTATGTCGGAGAAAACTTTTGTTAAATTTATTTCCTCCA